TTTCATACATGATTGTGAGCACAGCAGAAGTGGTATTTCGTAGCTTTGCACGTCTACAAGCATCGCTTGCGGGCGGGCGGCGGCGGCGAATTGCAAGTATCGACACGCGTTGTACTAAATATTGAAAAAGCAAGTTTTTACAAGTAACACACGCTGACCTTCTTACAATATTATCGCCTACCTGCACATTTTATATGTAGGTAAAGCCAAGCCAACATATTTGTTCTTTACTATCGACACCAGATAATTTTAATATTAGATTAATAATAAATTTTCCTGGACCCCACTTACAACTTGTGAACCCCTATTTTTATTTCACGCCAGCGCAGACCCCCTTTGAATCAATATGGACCACTTAGGGAATCACTGGCATAGAGAAAACATTTATATGCTTCAAAAGCACTAAATCTTGGCACCAAAACCAATCTTCACTATTTTTATTTCGTTTAGCTTTTTTTAAATTCCATTTTCTAGTTTCTCTTCATTCTATTTAATTCTCCAGTTTTTTTTCTTGACATTTTCTTACAATATTTCCCTTTTCATAAGCCTTTCCAGGTTTCAAATTAAATATTAAACAGTTTTTTTTTAAGTTTTGATTGTTGTGCCAAATCTTTAGAGCAAACGAATGTTGTCCAAGTGCAAAATTGATAAAATATTATTTATTGATGTGGTTAACAACAATAAATAATAAAAGATTGTTCTTGCAATCGCTGTTTAATGCATTTAATTTGAAGATTCTAAAAGTACTATTTTAAACAAGTGAAAGAAAAAGTAAGTGTTGTGTTGTAACAAGAACCAAGATCATAGCTGAGGATAGGGAACAATGGAAATTACTCCACTGAAAAGAATATCACTCTTATATTATAAATGTTATAGATAGACCTTTGTAAGCATTACAATGCTACCAAAACTAATAATACAAAAATGACAAGTAGTCGAAGGTAAAAATAAGACATTGACATGGCAATATTTGATGCCTCCCCATGTTAAGTTTTATTTTTCCCAATATGACTTCCCATTTATGATAATTTTTGGCTGGGTCTCTGTTTAATCATTGAAAAATATTGCATAAAAGGCAATAATACTCTATTGAAATTGGACTCACATGACACTTGGTCAGTGGAGTTCTTTGTACACATCTCACTAATGCAGGATTTTTTGAAAAGGATGTTGAAGGTAAGGTGGACTTGAAACTTAGAGGGTATGTTCTTTGTATAACATAGGCATTTCATAAGAAAGGATTTTCTGAAATTCCACCATAAGGGGTTGAAAAAGCAAAGTTAAAATGGAACTATTTAATACCTTGGTAGAATCTACTTTAAATTTTGCATCAACATTCTTTGACTGAATCGATGAAAACTGTGTTTTATATTTAACCCGTCTCGCGATTTTTTGAACACACAGGTGTGCAAACGCTTCAAGTGCGTTTTGTGACTTAATCGCGTGACGGGTTAATTGAAATTCATCACAAGCACTATCACATATGAAATAGGAGCTAGTGTGCTCCTATTCTTAACTAACACAAACTACTGGTCAAGAAAGGGAGTACACGTATCTACTTTCAGTAAATATGATGGCATAACCCAAATTTTTTTAAGCATTTTCCATAACAATATTTTTCAGCATAGCATTATTAATGCAAGATTGATCAAATATAATAATTAATATTATTACTTGTAGAGCTGATGAATTTAGTTGTAAATTATTGAATTTAGTTATTAGTTGCAAATAAACTGTACCAAAAATGACTCATTAAAGACTTTACATTGTACTTTCATAAAACATTCTAAAAGTATACTGAGATAAAAAAGCAAACCACAAAAAAATGTATTCAATGACTATTTTACATACATTTTGAATACTAAGTCCTAACTATAGTTGAGAGAAGCAATTACTCCAGAAAATGTCATTAATTAACCAAATAATATTAAACATAGATGATGATAGATGAGAATTTGAATGTAGTCAGAACTGTTAATAACAAATAATAATAGTATTCTAACTCAAATTCAAATAATAAAAATATCTGCTAACTTATACTTGAGTAATTACTTCTGTCAACTATAGATATGAGTATTATAGATATTTTATATTTTGTACTTCTTTTATAGTCCCTTCCAACTATCTTTACACTGAGATCTACACAACAGATTCTAATGCAGTATTCAACAACAGATATATTGATTCAAGAGGTAGGTTTATATTGATTGTATAATACTGGACAATGAGGGGAAGGCATTGGCGGAAAGCTAGTAATTCTATATGATATAAATACTATAAGAGTAAGTTAATAATAAAATTGTAAACCATATGAATTTGGTTTTCAATAATTGTTATTTAAGGTAGGTTAGTAAATGTTATTGGATGAAGTGAATTTAGAATAGAATAGAATAACTCTTGAATATAATAATATAACATAATGGAAATATTTTATACACACATCTAAATATAATAATTCGCCGTCTAATTACTTGAGATAGTCTCTACCATACAACCTTTGGAATAAGAGGACTACATGACAAGTAGAAAACGGGAGTGCAAGCTAAAAACAATTCTGGTTATTATGTCTTATACTTGTTAATTATTTAAAGAAAAACACACAAATAATATTTATTACCTTACAACATATTACTGATAGACAAGTATAACACTATATTATTTACATATATATATATATATATATATAATTTATATAATAATTTTAGTAAATTTCATTAACTTACCTGTATACTCTATCCATTTCGAATGACACATACAAGGCACATTCGTAATATACTTATATTTAGACAGTAAAGATTGAAAGAGATAAACCTCACAAAACTTTTGACAAAAAAAACAAAATCACTTTATATCTTAAAACACGGAACTCTTTAAAAAGACTGAAGTTAAATGCTACAACGTTGAACCGAAATAAAAACTGTCAATCTGCGAACTTCGAAACACTTACACCACTGACTGACTGTCACTGACTGAGAGAAACAGAACAGATAATTAATACACAATACTGGTAAAGAAACAGAAAATTTGACAGAATGTGGTAGACTTTTAGCCAATCAATTAACACGTCACTTTAACATAAAACGTGATTGGTCCGATCACATTCACCCGATACCGCCTGATATGAGCCTGAAATGAAACAAAACTAAAAATGTATACAGGTCGTAACATGTCAATAACAACGATGTAGCCATTATTGAATTTAGAATGAAGAAGTATTACAAAAACAAATTTCTTTTCATTTATATTATAATTAAAATAAGATTGCATGCTGTTATTTTGGCAACTAACGCCTATATTTTTAAAGTTTAGATAAAAAATAACTTGTAGCTGTAAGCTTAAAACTTAAAAAAGCCGTGAACTCTGGTTGCCCATCTGGAGCTCGACCATGGACTTGCAGACAGGGAGAAAGTACTCCCGGCTGAAAACCGAGTTAGGTGAAATATCTTTAAATAAATTTCTTTTTTATTTTTATAAAGGAAAATGAAAACTACCATAATGGAAGTGAGCATAGAGAAGGTTTTTAAAAGTTATGGAAATGATGAAATATGAAATTAATGTTGTGAAGTTATTAAAAGTGGCATTTAGCTACGGTATACAATATACAGTGAAATAGTTTTTTATAAATAAAATACTTATACAAAGATCATAAAAACGATAATTATAATAATAAATCCGTATATTATCAATATACTTACCCGATGTGTATTAAATATACTAGGTATTATATTAGATACACATCAGGTAAAGATGTCATATTTATTAATTTGAGGAAGTATTTAATAATAAAAATTAGGTTTTGAAATCATACAAGATGTCACTAGCGATGTTTGGATATTGTCTATGATATTCATTATATTAATTTTGTTTCGAGTGTAATAAAAGTAAATTGAGTATCAAAAATTAATAAATATGACATCGTTTCGTGTTTCTTATAAAATCTAACTTTCAAATTAATTTTAATTTATTTGAAACAAAAGTTTAAGTTATTTATTACGTAACGTGTAAAGGAACGATGTTTGGTTTATATGTCAACATTAGAGAGGAGCCAACTTATTGGTTGCTTTACTTCAATTGACTCGATTCATCTAAATTCAGGTTTACAATCGATACCAAAAAGCGGAACGCTGGATTCAGCTTGTTTCTTTTATGTGTCGTATTTCCATATGTGCCGTTATCCATTCACACGTCGAATTATATTAATATAAATATCAAAATCAATTCAGTCTAAGCTGTTAGGTAGTACTTGTGAAAGTCGAAAACTTCGCCAACGGTTCCTAAAACTAAGGCGAGAGATCTTGTATTGAAAAAGACAGGCAAGAAACTCAGCAAGGGATGCTTTTTTCTAGAGGTTGACTATTAACTATTTGACAATATTATTGTAAGAAGCAAATACTCACCGTACGAAAAAACGTAACACTTGGTTTGACGTCCACCGTCGACATGCATGTTCAGTAGCGATAGTTTAATAACTGTACGTGTCTTTGTGATTTTGAAATTTATAGTTATAACCTTGCTGTACGTTTTGAACGGACGTTTCTTGTTATTTGCTGAAATTTTATTACTATGATTTAATTATAACTATAAGATTTAATAACTGATCATAGTTTTTTTTATTCTTAATTTCGATAGGACAACCTATTTGCACAAACGTCATTCTAGCCAGAAGTCATCTTATTTTGTACGAGACTAGTAATGTGATAAACGGATTTTTTCTAATGATTGTCGCTTCAATGACCTTTGTTGCTGATTCGTAAACCCTATTTATTCATTCAGCACACATAATATAAAAATATGATTGAGACTTGATGTAGTAACTTCATTTATTTAAAGTATAAATATTTAATTCAAGTTAAATACTTAATTTAAAATCGGGTCTGGATTTTTCGGAATCGCACGGCAGTATTCATGGCTATGAATAAGTGATGATTATTAAAAAAAAAACTTGGTCTGTGGTCATTGGCTGTATGGGCTAAGCTCTCTTCGCCTTTGCTTTAAGGAAATAATCTACCAAAAAAAAAAAAGGTCTGTGGTCAGATGTCAGAAAGAAGTGTTGTAATTCTTGGGGATTTTTGTGTTTTGTGCTGTTTTATAAACCAATAAAAGCTTTTCAACAACTGTAATCATCATTTATTATTTTATGGAGTCTGACGGAGAGAATTCAACCAATTTAGCAGAAATGTCTTCCAAAGGCGTTGACAGCGAAACCTCTAGACTTGTATCTACCAACACCAACGCAAACCCCAGTTATTTAAATATAATTAGCAATATAAGCGCTTTGACATTTATTGGAATAATCACATATTGCTGTTTTAAAGACGGCGTCAATCTTTTCTCATTCCACCCAACTTTAATGGCTTTCGGGGTAAGATAATAAGCAACTTTTTAGCACTGATTTTACTTATTCCTTGGTGCCAATTTTGGTGTACCACTCACTAAACTATACTAAAATTTTAATATAAACTTGTTTTAAACTTATTCTATAATCTTATGTAAGCAAAGAAGTATAGCTTTACTCGTGTATATCAAAATTGATTAAGTTTAATTCTTTTATACAAGTTTTCTTAATTGAAAACACAGATTGACAGGACTTAACTTAAATATAGTCTAGTTTGCGCAACAGAATATCTGACTTTTTTTTTATTTCAGTGGATCTTCATAATGACAACAGCTGTAAATGCAATAACACCTGGAGATATGGCAACCGAATGGATGCCAATACGTCTAAGAAGTGCTCGTCACTGGCTTTTGCAGGTTATTGGTGGTATTGTCCTTCTGGTAGGGTTTTTAGTTATATTAGTTAATAAAATTGTCAATGAAAAACCACATTTTGCGACTCTTCATGCAAAATTTGGTTTGGCGTCTTTGATATTTATGGTATTAACTATGCTGGGAGGATTGGGCGCATTGTACAGTTTAAAGCTAAAGGCATATCTTGCCCCCATATATACAAAACTATTACATGCTTCTGTTGGGCTTATAACTTTCACTTTAGGTATTATCACTATATGTCTCGGCTTGTTCTCACAGTGGTGGTCAAAAGTAGGAGATGATATTTTGAGATACATATCTCTGGTTTTGGTTCTATTGGTTATGATATTTACAGTTTTAAGACCTACATTAAAAATTTATTTTCGTCTCAAAGAAAGGTTGGAAAATTCAAACTAAAGTCATGAAAAGTTATGAGGTATGCCAAATCAATCTATAACAGTATATTCTTGTGGAAATGAAATCTAATTTTGTGTTATTATTGTGATAATCTTAGTTTTAAGTGAAGCAAGTTTTATAATATTTTTTATATTATATTTATAAACTTACCAGTGGCTCAAATTTCTATTATAGAACATCATTGTTAACTGAAAATGTTCAATAATTTTCTGGGTGCCGAGTATGAGTTTTCACATTGTTTGTTATGAAATGAATTTTAGTAAGGATTCCAAAACATTCATATAATTTTTTTATTGCAATTGTTAACAAACATTACAACTCATACCATACTGAAACATTAAATAAATAGGCTATTTATATCAGTGAAAATATTTTTAAACTTCATAGAAATGGAATATATGTTGCTGAATTGTTGTGAATATCATTACTTTCAAAAATTTGTCTTGTGTCATATTAAAAACCATTTACTACATAATTTCCAGACCATTTCACAGACTGCATTTTGTACACTGATTGGTTAAACACTCCCATCTTTTATGCATGATCATGTTATTTGTTATGTATTATATTGATTTCAAATTTATTTATTTACACATAATCATACAACACATTATAGAAATTTATAAAACAACACACACATAACATCGGAATTATTTAATAATTTTCCTTATATTGTTATTTCATTTTCAACTTATTTAGATTTTTGTTTTGTTAAATTTAATAAATGAGAACACATTTAAATATCATATTGGTTTTTATCATATTATGATATCAATGATCATATTATGATAAAAACTATAATTATATTTAAATATGATATTTAATTCATTTACGTAATACAATGTGTAAGACATTTAAAAGGTACCTTTTTGAATTATCAAAAAAGTGACCATTACCTACAGTAGTTATAATTACTTATGTATTTAAATATTGAACGAAAGTAGAATCCAGTGAACAATCACAGTAATTATGAAAGGGATAATAAAGGGATGAAAGGGTTGTTGGTTTAAGCGTCATTTTTGGCGATATTGAGTTATTGATGTTCTGTGACGTCATGCACTTAGCGGGGCGACAACAAATCTAGCGATCATTCATTTTGTTATAAAACACTTAATTATCGTTTAGCAAAAATGTTTACACTACTGTTTTTGGACACAGACACTAAAAGGGGCGCGTATACCCAAATCACGACATTCAACAGCAACAACTGGTTCTGTACAGAGAAATGTAGTCACAATATTTAAAAACAACATAAAGTCCTTTTAAATATTAATTATATGCAAAAAAAAAACAAAATTAATTTCTTTTAACTCTGAACAGAGTTCCCGGTATGACTGATCTGGTTGAGTCAGTTCGTTTAGAATTTGACGGTTTGCATCGGGTGGGTACACACGGCTACACATTTTTAATGAATACTGCTTTAAAATCTGCCAACCCTGTCCCATCTCTACCTGATGGTGTTGTTTGCTGTTGACTGTACATCAATTATCTGATAATATTAATTATATAATTTTTTTATTTTTACAAATCCATTTAAGTTAATCTCACGAGACATATTTTAAACTGACGGTGTTCCCAATAATACAGCATATAAAATAACTTGTTAGACACTTAAATATTTTTTTATATTAATATTTCTACTATTGTTGAAAATATTATTTTTACATATTATGTGAATGTTCACTATAGTGAGTAGGTAGATATTTACCCTAAATGATCAGTGATTTATTGCCAAATTTTTGTGTAGATGTAGTAGCGCCCTTAGAGATGAGGCAAAGGCGATCCGCAGTGTTGGGTATAAACTGTCTCATTACCTTCGATCATAGTCATTATTACTATTATTATTGCGATTCAGATATAGTTATATATAAATGTATTTCGTTAGTAATACATTTGCTGTTGTTTGTCTATGTATGAAATATTATAAAAACCTACATATTAACTAGAAAGATCTTTACCACTAACGCGCAACAACTATATAAAGCCAGCATAGTTGCTATCGCAAATTGTCGTTTATCTATTAAATGCCCTTGGCTAATTTAGAGGAGTATGAGGTACCAGTAGTGTCTATGATCTAAGTATAGCAAGTAAGTTAGTCTATTTCATCGCCATTATTGATTTTGTTTGAAAAAAATTGAATAATACGTACGTAGTTGAGGAGACTGACTAATAAATAGAGTATGGCATATGGTTTCACACTGTATAACGATATGTACACACGGCTGCACGCCAGGTTACCACAATATAGCAAATATCCGCAAAACATTTTGAAGCAGCCATAAGAAGATAGAAGAGTAATCAAATGAATTTTAACAGTTTTGTATAACCTTCCGTGCTGTTGACTGTATGTATGTATACCTTCATGTATCTACGTTGACAATTTTTTTATGCTTTCAAATGTGTACAATCGGTCTCAAAACATTTTATTTGTAGCACCGGATTCGTGAGAAAAATTACTTCCTAGTTCAATTGCATTTTTTCCCGGTGAAGATGTCAATATTTTAAATTGTATAATAAATATGTTCTTATTATTTATATAAGTTTATAATATACTCTACTAATATAATGTTTGGTCAATCTCCTTTTACCTACATAATATGGTTTTATTATGTGCCGATGAATTTTATAATAGAGACGGCGACAATTCACACAATCACACAAGCTCTTGAGACTTTCTTGCTGCTGAGCCTTTTGAATCAAACTAAATGTGCGCACAATCCTAGTATTTAATAATAAGTATACTTACCTTTTTAACAGATCTCAATGTCAAAGTTGCAAAATTTAATTACATATTATATTATTGATTTCTTAGATTTATTTGAAGTCACAAAATTTTGTTATTTAATTGTTAGGTAGATATAATTTACAATAATCGGAGGCATCTTATTTAGACTTGAATAAGTTGTAGGAATGTAATATATAAAGAATTATTTTTCGAATATCTTAAATAGAAATTAATTATAATTATTTATTCAACAAGGGGTGTATGTAACGCATTGATTACTTAACAATCTGAAAAAATATTTTTCATATTATTTACGACCTGTTTTTGAAGTAGCTTTAATGAACAACTTTTGACACTCTTATTAGGTTTTTGAATGAATTATTTTACATACGTAGTAGAGCATAATAGTCACAAATCTGTTTAACTGAGAATCTGGTAAAAAGCTCCTTATGGCTCTCACCCATCACACTCACTCAAATTATTCTATTAACAGGGAAGACCAAGGGACCCATAATATACATTCCATTTCATAATTCTTTATTATCATGATCATCATTATTACTCTTCGTATATGTAGTAGGTATTATGTATTTTATATCGACGGTATATATTGATAGATATATGTAGGTGCACTCGTTGAGTAATCAACTCCTTATCCTTCTTGGTGAATAAATTTAGTCGCCTATAAATTTATAGATTTTTGAGTCTGGTATACATCACGATCATTATATTATAAGTTACTAAATATTTATATAGTTTTTGCTAGTAATTTTATTTAGTGCCGTTTTCAACATAAAACAGTTTCGTCAAGTACTACTGACAAATAAAACATATCAATAAATGCATGTCTTTTTATGAATATTTATATAAGACTTGATCTGATATAATCCAGATCGGTCTGAGCATTTTTATAATCTCACCAATTTCACTAAGGTGGTCTTATATAATAGGTATTATTATCACGGCAAATATTTATAGAGTTAAATAAACATAAAAACCGTATAAAGTAACTTATAAACAGAGGTGGGAATTAGGTAGAGTTATTTATGTACTTGCATCGAAATGTTGATATGAATGTGGACCTTCCCGGGATTTCTTTATTTCTTCTTTCTTTAATTGATGTAAGTTTGGCAACGTCGTGCGCGCAGTAGTTTAAATTGTGTAAAAGTAAATAACTTTTTATTTAAAAAATCACAGGATTTTTTCTGCTCTTTAAAATTAATCTCGGGATTTGAGGCATATCCACTTTCTTCTTTCGCTGTATGAAATCAGTGTAAGTACATGAATAACTCTACCTAATTCCGACCACTGCTTATAAAATGCAGCATAATATTACAAATACTATTTTGAATTTTTATTTTTCAGGAGCTTCAAATTAAAAATTGATTGTATCTGAGAAATTATTTTACTTGCTATTGACTGTAAATAATTTCTCAAAACAAGTAAAACAGAAAATTTTATTTATATCAAATCTGTATATATATATGTATCAGTTTAATATTCTCCCATACTTTTTGTGCGGTCTATGGATTAGTAATTTAATGCATCAAATTCTAGTAGGTATATAATTAAAATTGTTTCTTCTGTTTAAAATTTTGTTGATGAACAAATATTTTGTTATTATGTCATTGAATATTAAAATATGTAAAGTGAGTCTAAAGTATATATGAATTATAAAGGCGGTCTAATTTAGATTAACTCGTGAGATTTGTATGTGTTAAAATCGCTAAAATGTGTAGGTACTTTGTATGCTTCGTATTGCAATTATACATAGTTACATATAATGTACCTGTTAAAAGTATATAAAAATGATTTTATAGATTTTTATGCATAAGAAAATTGTATACCTACCCTATTAAATATAATACCTATAACATCAATGTTTACTCCTAATTAAACATATGAACATATTTTATTAAACATATATATTGTGAATGATATACAATTATTGTTATTTATTTTATTAACCAACTTCGAAATCAAAAAGAAGGAGGTTCTATGTCGACCGCGACGTTGCTATGTTTTTTTTTTTTATGTACGTAGTTATGGTCAGCGATCTTTCCGCAAATGCTTACCTAATTTCAAAATTCTTTTTATTAGTTCAAATATACCCCGAGGTAATCCCATATCAATTTTATCGATATTGATTAAGTAGTTTTGTTTTAATAACACAAAATCAAAATAACTGAAAGAGTTTCGCCGAATATTCTATAACTACTAAGATGACAGTTATATCATAAGAAGACAATAAAAGTTATAATTTTCTATATTAGGCACTTATTTAGATTTTTTACATTACAAACATATACACAAATAATATGTATTATAATATGAAATATGTATTATATCGTGCAAAAAGAATTTTTTTTTTTTATAAAGCTATATAATATTTTAGTGATAGATAATGTGGTGATATAAACTCTTCGGTTTGTACCAAAAAAGTAGCTTTATAGCACGAATCTGAATTATCAGACATTAGACCCTTGGCACAGATTATAAGTAGCTATTATAAGTTACGAATTGTTTATTAAAACTTAAATACAATTAAAATAAGTAAACAGTAATATTTGCAAAACAATTTACACAAACTTGTAAAATATTATTTAAATTCTTTACAAGGCGGTTATAAAACAGAACTGTAGACAAAAATGAAAACATAGACTACATAAATAACAGATTATAAAAAAGGTCAAGAGTGAGTTGTGCACTTATCCGCATATAATATACTAAACATAAAGAGACGGTACTCGGACTGATCGCCTGATCTATAAAGCCACGGACGTAGTGCTTCATCCTTCCCCTCCCAAAGTCACTAATCCGCCCCGGGGATGACTTGGACTTAAGTCGAGGCCTGCTTTTTCTCTTTACCGTTTGTACTTTTACATCAGCGTCCCCGATATAGGGTGTAAGAAGATTGGTATGGTACTTCCCTTTTAAGTTGCCTTCACCATCTACTAGTTCATAATTAGTGGCAGATACTACCTTATTAATTTTGAAAGGACGTATACGACGTGGAACAAACTTTTTTGTAATACCCTTTGTAGCTTGACTAATAGCATGGTTCTGTTATACGGGACTTGAAGATTGTCTTTTTAAAAAAGGATTTGAAATATATAACACGTTTTATTAGAACAATACTCAAAACCGACTTCGATGGTGGTTGCGCTGCGAC